TGGCCGCCTCCTCCCACTGCTAGTCGCTACTCCTCCCCTGCCCTGCCGCCGCGCCACGCCGCTGGTTGCCACCACTTCACTGGCTGCAATAGGTCTGGCTTTCAGCCAAACCAGTGATTTCAGGTCTCAGTGATTTCAACTCTTTAGCCACCAGCTGGACTGGCAAATGAATCCAGCTTTCACTGGACTCGCAAAAGAAAAGACTCCTCAGGGAGTCTGCTTTAAGTCTGTCCTTAAAACAAAGGGGGAAATGTGCAGGCTGGGCCAGTCTTATAGCTCACACCTGGCAGGGGTGAAGCAGGCTGATTCAAGCCCTTTAACCCTTTCCCCCAGCTCAGTCCACTCAACTCTGGAAGGGGGGAGGCTTGTTCTTCCGAGACCTCTTACCATGATGGTGGTGTCTCTGCTGCAAGCACTGGTGGCATGTTTTACAGTTCCCACATTTAGGGGTAGCATGATTAGTGACCCCCACAACAGTCCCAAATTATACACAACTCTCCACATTCCATTCCAGTACTGATCCTCCATCAGCCCTGGCTGAATAGGATTTACATAGCCACACCTCGTATTCTCTCCTGAGCTGTATTTACATATAAACAGTTAACAGTTAATTACCTTGCAGAGCTAAACAATTGTAATGGGCACACCCACCCCTTCTTTTAGCTGGCTTATAGCAAGCAGCAGTTCAGCCCCTGCTTACATCATCCCCTGCTTACACAAACCAGGCACAGCTAGAAAGTAAATTAGCAAAAAGTAGTACTGAAACTACTGATTTTATGCATAAAATTATCTCACTAAAAACAGATTGGAGAATTATGAAGGGAAGCCTGACAACCTGGAAAATACAACTAAAAGAAATGCCTTTTATCTAACAAGCATTACTTTAGGCCTTGAACAGAAAAGTCTGATTAATTTTCTTTAGACACTACTCTTACATACTTAAAATAGGGCCTGCAACTCTCTATGCTTGATATGTAGAGAGGTCTTACAGAGGTCTGGCTGAAAAAGCTGGGAAAAAACAAAACCCAGATCCATTAAGCTAGCTCCTCAAATTGGTAAATTGGTAAAACTCCACAGTAAAGTCAATGGAGCATAGCTTATTTACACCATCTGAGACTCTGTCTTGTCTTTATGTTTCTAAAATGTAAAATATAATGAAGCTAAAGGGAAACCAGTGAAAATGAGACACACTGGCCAGGTTTTTTTTTTCTAATTTTTCTGCTAATCTAATCAAAATAATGCTGTGTTTAATGGAATAAAGCAGATTATCTAGGGAACAAACATCAGAAATGGCATTAAGTTCTCTGTTAACTTTACTACGGACCTGCCAGCTTCTATAATATTTTGCAAGTGACCAGAAAAAGCCAATAGCTCTCTACTCACAGAATGACAGTTGGCTAAACTCAAAACTCCGGTCATCTGAAGAAGTGGGCTGTGTCCACGAAAGCTCATGATACCATCTACGTGTTTTGTTACTCTATAAAGTGATACCAGACCATTTGTTGTTTTTTCTGTACAGACTAACTCGGCGACCCCCTGAAGCTCATAATCTATTAATCAGTTTTCGACATTTAAAATCAGGACCATTTCTATGAGCTTCAATATTAAAAAAACATGCATGAATGTCTTAAAGATCCAAAATCTGAAGAATAATATGATTCATGTCATAGAATCTTTTAGATTGAGTGATTTTATATACCATAGGATGTACTTTAGTTCTCCTCAGATTTACGTTTATTTTATGCTATATTATATCGATTTATGTATAGTGTGTCATCACTGATTGCTGTGGTCAATAGTCAATGTATAATTTTCAAGATTTTGTATGCTTTAAAATGTATTTTTTTTAAAAGAAAACACAAATATTTAAAATCTCAATATCAGAACAGAAAACATTTTTCCAAAGCTTAACAAAAAGGCCTTCCTCAATGGCACTATTCTTTTTAGCTCTGGACTGCATGCTGGTACACAAGTTAGATGAATGGAAACAGGGACAATGTTAAGACAAAGTGAATTGCCATCAAGGCAAAGGAGATGTAGAGTGGCAAACCATACCAGTATGTGTTTAAGCAAGAGTGCCTGAGTTATTTTCATGATGAAATGTGGATGAAAAACCATAGTAGCTATCATAAAGGCACTACCTAGAATCTTCCAAACATTACTATCTGCCTCAGATGTCTGGGGGTGGTAGAGGAATTTTCTGCTTTTTCATACAAAGCTTTCCATTCCTCCAACACTGTGCAAACTCCCAAAGTAGGCTCTATTGAAATAAGAGCAAATTTATCAACTTTTCTCTCTGTCAGTTTTACTTCGTATTTTAAAATCCTGTCAGCATTTATGTCCGACACTTAATGGTTTTAAAATATAAATGAACATGTTACTCTGTGGGTACATTATATCGGTGGCAATAGATGTTGGATTACTGTATTTTATATTGGGTTACATTGTATTTAAATATTAACAGATTGTACACAACAACCTAGTACATAAGAGGATAATAAAATGTGGAGATGTATCTGCATAGCGGATACTCTTAGAATCTCTGAGAAAGTTTACATGTTAAGAAAAGTTACCCATCTGCTGTACCTAGGACATTCTTTTATAATTTATCTATAAAAAATTAAATCTCATCAAACAAAAATTCTTGTAATGAATAAGAAATGAATAATTACCCTTAACTGAGATTTTTCTCCGAATATGTAGAAGGCAGCTTGGCGTTTCAGCAGTTGATTTTGCAAAAATGAACTATTACTGTATGATGCTGTGTTATCTTTCCCTGCTAATCTTGCACCAACATCAATGAATGGTGTTTGAGTGCTGATAAATCGATTGCTAGATCGAAGACTTGCCCATACACCTTCACAAAGATTAAAAATGTTATAAAACAATTTCTTTCACATACAAATGAGTTTTGTAGAATACACACATTGTAGCATGCATACATATGTATATTTTTGAAAGTAAGATATTTACACATGTCATTTAGATCTTTTATATCATACACTGGAAAGAAATAATCCCAAACTGGAATAATTCCACAACTAAAATTCTCCAAATTAAACTACAGTACAGTAATACAATGTGAGACACTGGTCAAAATTAGTTGAACATGTAATAGTTTACAAACTGAGAAACATTGTATGTATTAATAGTGTTTGCTATAAAAGCCACACATGCTTCCGATATGAATAACAATTAGCAAATAAATTAATATGCATTTAGCTATATGGAAATGAAAGTGCTAAGTGAACACATTTTCTATAGCTTTCTTTGCTTCAGGCCTGTTGTTTTGGGAGCTTATCTACTAGGAATAACAGATAAGATTTTTTCCTCATCAAATGAAAGTACCTGTTATTTCACATGACGTAACACATTGCCCCATTATTTCTTACTGTAATTAAAACTGATATCATCTTAAGCAATCCAAATACTAAACTTCATGATGGTACTCCATATTTGAGTTTGAATAATAATTACAATATTTAAACCCACAATCATGGATTATCTTATGAAACTTGTAATTTAAATATTCCTGCCTACATTGATTTTAAGCATATTCCTTATTTTGGGCATAATGCCCACAATTACATTTTTGACAGACGTGCTAATGGTCTAGTTGTTAGAGCAAAGGTGCTGGTAGTGCCTAAAAGATCCTGGGATCATATTTCAGTTCTCTCTCTAGTTCACTATGGAGCCTTCAATCAGCCATATGACCTCCATCTAAGATAAAGCAGCAATAAATACACAGTAGAGATCAGTCTTGCACTGACAGAGAGATGGACTAGATAATAAATATTTTCTCTCACTATGTGAGTCTGTGCCTCAACCAAACAAGCTAGAAATGCGGCACATGATTAAAAACAAAACAAAACAAAACAAAACACATTAATAATTCTGAATGCCATCCTGAAGCAACTTAAAGGCATTTAATCTTCAGAGGTCAGTAACTCAGCACTTCTGAATATCCAATCTCCTTGAAGTGTCTCAAGTTTAGTGTTTAAGTTACTGGGTGAATAATATGGCCTGTGTTATGCAGTCGTTCAGATTAGATAATGATAATGGCCCCTTCTTGCTCATACATCTATGAAGCATCTAAAAACTGAGGAACCAAAGATATCTAGTTATTTTAGAAAATCATGTCCCTGAGACATAACAAGGAATAAAAAAGTAAAAAAGTGCTCACTAAAACCCAATAGTAAGTAGTAGCTAAGGCTCTTGTATAAATAAATGATAAAATAAGATTCTACTGAGATATCTGAAACTAGTCAGAGTTTGTTTCTTTTTTTTAAATAGCACAGTAGTTCTACTCAAACAATAATACCGTAGAGAAATCTCAGACAGGGACTTGCCTGTTTGTACAGCATAGCCTGTCTGCTTGTCTGGTTCATAGCTTTAGATGTGAACAAACAGGTAAGAACAAATGAGAAGGGTTTGTTAGGAACTTAAAAGTTTATAATGATCACCCTTTACATAACACCTCCTGCATAAAAACTAATTGTATGAAACATGTCACTTACATAAAAATTATCTTTAATGTTAGCTTTTGTTCCATATCTGATGTCACTGAAGCTATAATAATGAAGTTTTCATTAATTAAGAAAGAATACAGCAGTCATTTAATAACAGAAATAAACTGTTCAGTTTTTGTATAAAAGGTTGTATATTCCCACAAAGAAGATGGACACAGAGACTATGTACACTACTAGAAAAATCTCTTAGGATATCAGTCCTATTTTGCATGTTATACAGGCTATGATTATAGCGTGTTGCACATCACAAGCCACAGAGCCAATTACAAATACATGCAGACTAGTATGTTTACCAGTGATGGGTAACAGTGATTAAAACAACCAAGTTAATTACCTTCTATTCTATTTAGTGTTTAAGTTTTTGTACGGTTTTTATAATTTGTAGCAGAATCTTAAGATAGGGCTTTCTTTGTTTAACATACATTATGATTGTATGTTTTTCTAGCTCAGCAGAAGCCCATTACCTCTCTGTTCACCAACATTACTGATGATGTTGGCAGGCAAGTTCAGAATGGATAACAGTATTTCTCAAGTTATTCTGCTACTGAGTAGTAAAAGTAGCAAATGATATTTTGGGGGATGATTTTCTGTTTCATTGTTTGGCAAAGACTAATAGATTTTTAAAAGGGATATTTAAAATCTGGAAGTTATTTTGTACTAGCTAGTAAAAATGTTAATGTAAAATTAATGTTGCTTATATTGTGAGAGAATTTTTGGGTCCGCTGTGAAGCCCCTGTTGTCTGGTACGTTCAAAATGTGATATGGAGGACACTGCCCTCTCACTTTCTTCTTGCCCAATTATTTCAACAAAGGTAAGGTGGGAGGGACGTGGAATGGACATGGGCAGCACATCTCAAAGAATAACAGTTATGAAAGGCAGGGAACAGTTTTTTTCTTTGTATAATTCATCACGTATATTCCAATAGATGAATCACCAGCAGTTTCCATGGGGGGGGGGGGGGGGGGGGGTAGTGCCCTGCCAAAGTCCACATTCTCTCTTGCCTGCTGGATGATGACATAGTGTGACATGAAGGTGTGAATGGATGACCCACAGATTTCTGGGACAGGGACTTGCAAAAGGAATGCTGCTGAAGGAGCTTGGGTCCTCGTGGAATTAGGCTGTCAGGGGCAGCACCAGGTCCTTGGCCAGATCATAGCAAACCTTGATGTAGTGCCCTGCCAAAGTCCACATTCTCTCTTGCCTGCTGGATGATGACATAGTGTGACATGAAGGTGTGAATGGATGACCCACAGATTTCTGGGACAGGGACTTGCAAAAGGAATGCTGCTGAAGGAGCTTGGGTCCTCGTGGAATTAGGCTGTCAGGGGCAGCACCAGGTCCTTGGCCAGATCATAGCAAACCTTGATGCACGACACAATCCATGATGAAAGACACTGGGCCAAGATGGGAAGGTGCTTTATTCTTTCTGCTATCACCATAAAGCATTGTGTTGACTTACAGAATGGTCTCATGTAGTCAATGTAAAATGCCAGGGCACACCTAACATCTAGGGTTAGCCCTTTCCCTAACATTAGTATTGCGTTTTGGGAAGAACACCAGTAAACGGATATCCTGGTTTATATGAAAGTGCAAACCACCTTAGGTAGGAATGCTGGACAAGGGCACTGTTGCACTTTGTCCTTAAAAAAATAAAGTGTGGCCTCAGAGCTCAGAGACTTACCAGCTGAGGTTATGGCCACCAGTAAGGCCGCCATATGAGGTATGACAAAGGATAAGTTGTTAGCGGCTTGAACAGGGATCCATACATTTAGAAAGGATCAGGTTCATGACCCAGGTTCCGAAACTGGCTCTTCCTGGGGGTACAGTCTGTCTGGACCCTTGAGGAACTGCCCCACCATTGGGTTTCTGAAAACTGATTTACCCCTCCCATGGGTGAGACATGGAGATGGCTGCTAGGTGGACCCTGACAGATGAGATGGCCAGGCCCTGATGCTGTAGGTTCTGGAAGTAGTCTAGAATGACAGGGATAGGGACTTGTGGTGGGTTAACCTCCTGTTGAGCTATGCAAGAGAACCTCACAGACTGGGTCCGAGCACTGCTGTTCGGTCAGCCATGGAGCATCCATGCCAGGAGGTGGAGGCACTCCAGGATGGGATGCTGACGGTGGTCATGGTCTTGGGTAATCAGGTCTGGGAGTAGAAGCAATGAGCAGTCTGTCTACTGACAGGTTCAGTAGTGTTGTGAATCAGTACTGTCTGGGGCATGCTGGGGCCACCAGGATGAGGGGTCCGAGCACTGCTGTTCGGTCAGCCATGGAGCATCCATGCCAGGAGGTGGAGGCACTCCAGGATGGGATGCTGACGGTGGTCATGGTCTTGGGTAATCAGGTCTGGGAGTAGAAGCAATGAGCAGTCTGTCTACTGACAGGTTCAGTAGTGTTGTGAATCAGTACTGTCTGGGGCATGCTGGGGCCACCAGGATGAGGGACACTATGAGAAGGAACACATACAGGAGGTGGCCTGTCCAGGACAGGTGAAATGCATCTGTTAGGAAGCCCTGGCTGTGATTTTGGGAGAAGCAGAAGCATGCCACTTGGGAATAACCTCCCTGCAGAAGAAAGACAAAGCGACGTCTGTCATGAGTGCTGAATGAATGGCTGAGGCAGTCCCTGAGGCTGGTCTGCAATCCCAGTATGCAGGTGGATGTGATGGCATATGCAGAAGTCCCACAGGAGAAGGGCATCTTGGTACAGGGGAGAGGAGCAAGCATCAACCTATTTATTTATATAAAACATCACTGCAGTAGTGTCTGTGCATCACTGAGACGCACTGGCCCAGCAGCTAGGTGCAGAATGCATGGCTTGTGAGGCATATCACTCAGAGCTTCCTGAAGATGTGTTGTGAATGTTCCAGAGCTTGTGCGAGAGGAATGCTGAGGAATGCCCCCCACCCTGTCTCCGAAGCATCTGTGGTGAGGGCGAGAATGGGCTGGGGCTTGCAGAATGGGCCCTGCTTGCACCACCTTAGGCTGCAACCACCAGGTTGGGAACTAGAGGAA